GATAGATTGCAGAAACGTGGTTGAAAAGTGGTTGTTCACGATAAAAAAAAAACAAAAGTGATCGTTAATTTCATTGCACTTTCATTACACTTCCAAGGAGAACGAGTCTTCGGAACACAACAAAGTGAACCGACTCTTGTCAGTACAAAGGAACAGTGCAACTAAATGCAATCAATTTCAATAAATAATAGCCTTGAGACAAATGGTAAAACCACTATCTGAGGGGAAACATGACGTCCTCCTGATATCGCAACAACGGACATGAATCAGCTAGTTTGTCAGCTGATGAATGAACAATTCGCAGTCCATTAAAACGCTTCTACTCAAGTAGGTTTCAATTCAAACGTGTTGTTGGTCGAAGCACCTGTGAACTGATCGTACAAAAAGAAACGGGAGATGCAAAGAATGTGCATTGTATCAAGATTCAAGAGGAGTACATCATATAAACCAGTCTTGCAATTCTAATTCATGTCTCATCTGTTCTTAAAAGAAAGTAGTATCACCAGGAAGTCAGGAAATCAGAAGGAAGGAAGTGCTTGTTATCTCCAGACGTGCTCTCTTTCATTATACTTCCTGCGTTATCTGAAAAATATTGATCTTGAAAGTGATTGACCGAATGAAATATTTTGCTCGCGTCAAAAGTTGCAGTTGTTAAACTATGATTCAACAAAGAAATAAAATTAATGAAATTATTTACATGGACGACGTTAACGATGACGAACAATCGTCGAAATCATTGGTTTCTAAACCATTGCAAGCGAACAATAGATCGCGTTCCGGTTCCATGCTCGAAACAGACAATACAAACAATCCGCGGCCTACGTCCGGTCCAGAAATCGACGACCTTGAACCAGGCGGAAATTTCCCCATAGGATTTGGTCCACGGATAGGAATTGACGATGGTCTTCTGCCAAGCGAACCGGGAGCACCGGGAACTCCAAGAACCCCATTTTTACCAGTGCCGCCTATTCAGCCGGTACCTGACGTGAATATCTATCAGCACAAGAAGACGCTCGCACAAGGAATGATGGATCTGGCTCTTTTGTCTGCCAATGCAAATCAATTGCGTTACGTTTTACAAACTGACGGCGGGCATCCATATTATTATCCGTCTTTGGTGTTAATAGGTTCCAGCCTGATATTACAAATTGCTATAGGAATAGGGCTGATCTTGAACAGCAGGTATAATGTTAAAGACGATGCTCAAATGTGCAAAGCCGAGCGGGCTAATAATTGGACAGTGATCGGTATATTTCTAGTGACAATTTTTAATGTTTTTATCTCGTCATTCGGCGTTGTTGATCAAGTATCAGTGATGCCTGTAATATCTAGGGTTGCTAGTGAAAATGACGACGAATAATTGTATTATTGTTTCATTATAAATTTACTGCTTAAATTATGGAAAACTATTTTTTTTTATATTTTTATCTTGTCATTCAACGTTGTTGATCTGTCTGTAATATCTAGAATTGTAAGTAAAAGTTAACGACGAATAATTGTTTTGTATCATAAATTTTATATTTAAATGCTGAGAAAGTACTGATTTTTATTTTACTATGAGAATTAAACTTGAACACAGTGAGGAATTGACTCCAAAATTTCTTCTAGTTTCTCAGAAAGCTTCTTCTTTTCCTTGGCTAAACTTTCTGTTTTCTTGGTCAATTCAGCAGATATTTCAGAAAGCCAGTTTTCTATTTCTGTGTTATCACCCTGGATCCTTAATAAACGCGAAATACATTTGGATTCATAGCCTTGACAATTTATGGTTTCTTTCTGAGATGACAAAATTTCAAACTTTTCTCGAGTCATACCATGTAATAAAGATATAAACTTTGAAACTTCATTCCAATCTATATCTTCTAACTGAAGCTCAGATTTATTGTGTTCTTCAACTACCGTTACCTGCAATTTTTATTATCACTGTTGGATATTCTATTGTATTTCATATAATAAAATACATGAATATGATGTAATGTATTCAATTTACCATCCATTCAAAAAATATATGTTTCTTTTTAGACCATTTCATATGAACATCTAATAAATTAGCAATGGTGGATAATTCTTTTATATATTTTTTGTCTTCGTTGGAAAGTGCATTTCTGTTAGCGGTTGAGACACGTTTTATCAGTGCTGCTTCTGATACGCTTAAATGTGGAAGACCACTAACATTCACACTTGTAGCATGAATTCTGCTTACTAATTTAGTCTTTTGAGAAATCAATTCAGATATCTCTTTTATGTTATAATTTACTTTACCATTTAAGTACAATATATTGTTTACTTGTGCACTGAATGTTTCTGGCATATTATATTGTGTTTCCTTCTCCTAAAAGATAAGCAAATTGTAGATTTATATTTCATTTGATATTTTAATTTATTCATATTCAGTTAAATACTTCTATACTGTTCAGTTGTAAACATTCTCTTCCTAGGACACTATTAGACAGATTTATTCGAATGATAACACTCAGAACATCTTGTGTTCCAAGAAGCCATGCAAATGCTAATAATAATGGCCTGCTATTTTTACTCTTCTCGCTTAAAGCATAAAACTCTATTGCTGGGTATTGTAAATAAGCAAAATACAATTTGGTAGTCCTTAATGTATCTATATAGAAGAAAAGTCAGTCTTGTAAACATTAACATCAACTGAAATGAACAACAAAATTTACCATATAAATTTACCATATTGCTTAAAATCAGTTTCAATTTGCTTTTCTTTTACAGCATGATGACTTAAGATGTTCAATGCTTTCCAAAACACGTCAGCCTAATACAAGAAGATTACAAACTAAAAATTTATTTCATGGATTGTTTCATGGATATTGAAACGTGTAGCATTGTAAAAAGGTTATGTGATACCATAATAATACTCACGACATTTTCGGCCTTGCTATTAAATTTTGCTAGCCTAAAATACTCAGGTTTCATCATAACGTTGATCGATAAATTTAAATGCTGACATAATAAAGATAAAACACTCTTTATATCGGACATTATTGTAATTAAAATTAAGCTAACGATTCATATATAAAGTTCCTGATTTACTTGATTTTAAGCGCGTCTTTACACTGTCAAATCGCTGTAAAAACCGATTTGACTACTCAAATAAATCCCATTTCAAGAAATGTTAATCTTTCTTAGTACAGAATTCTAACGCATCTTAAAATTTCATTGTTCCTCAGCTTGAACGTTTCGGAAATTTCACTTTCATAGTTTGCATTCATAATTCTCGGCATATCTGCTATTATTGCCTAGAATGACATTCGAGTCATAAAACCATAAAACCCATCGGTAAGTAAAGTTTTGCGGAAACAAAGAAAACTTGCAGCTTCCTAAATATCAATAGCAATGTTTGATTTATAATTTTGACGAATAGAGATACTTAATTTAAGGTGTCCAACTCTGAATACGCAGGCCATATTTAAATATAGCTAATAGAGACACCGTTACTCAGGTCAAATCTTTTCGCCATTTATTAATTGAATAGATACCGTTCTTCATTATTTCTTTTACTTAATATATATTTAAATTTAAATTTGCTCTCGAACTAACATGTTTGTGCCCACAGCAAAATTTCTGAAAAAGAAAAAAAAAATATTAATACTCGGACACAGGAGATAATTTGGCGCGTAACAAAAATGCAAACATGAAGAAAATTAAATATAAAGTTACAGATGAACAAAATTATGCATAAATAATAATAAATTATTAGGACGTTGATTTGGCGCGTAAGCACAGGAAGAAAATTAAAACACGAATTCATAGACAAAGGAAAATATGCATGAACAAAATTAAATATATATATATAGAGGTAAGGAAAATGTTAGTTTGGCGCGCATAACGAATTGTTATGCATTAGTATGTATTGACGGTTGACTATTGCCAACGGCTGATGGATTTTGTCATAAAATATTACTGTTATACGAATATTCATAATGCACCGCAGGAGTCGCCTTACCTGAGATGCTACAAGCAATACAAATGGAACCTCACCTCGTAATCCTGATCCCTGGGTACATAAGAAGAAGGAATAGATCAATCAGGTACCATCAGTCGAACATATAAAATCGTCGAGCGGCCGTACGAAGACTCAGTCTTCCTCTTCACTTCTCCAGTTTAGTTTGATACTGCTGCGTATATGTTTGATAACGGTTTCAGTGTTTCTCGGCACAGTGTTTTATATGCGCGAGAAGAAGTGCGCGTGTCAGAATACACAATCAAAACTCGGCGGCAGCCGCGTGCTAACGAGCAGAATTAAAAATAATACAAAGTGCTCACCGGTGAACTCGGCGTGAATTTAGTCAGTTGTTAAACATCGAACGTGTCGAACCGATCGATCACATTCGAAAAGCAGAAAGAAACAAGATGACCTTCAACAGCAAAGACATTGGACAAGGATACAATAGTTTGGCTCTTATGCACAAGGATACAATAGTTATCGGACTTTGTTTTTTAATAACATTGGTAAAAGATCAATTTTTAATAAAATTTAGATATTTCGTTGACAGTTACTTGTATGTACGAGCTACATAGTTGCTTAAATTATAGATTGCCGTTTCCGTTCGGTGAACGATGGATTTTCTTCTTTTCTTTCGTTTTAATACTTGGTACGGAATAATCGTCGGCGACTGCGAATAAATAATTCAATCGCATCGTCTAGAAAAAGTTACTCAGTCAGAAAATGTTGCAAAGTGAATAGAAATATAATTACTTGGTAACGGTGGAATTATTCTATTTCTGAATATTACGCGGATATTACGAATGGTAGAATAATGCAAATGCATGTGAAATTTGACGAACGGCCCATCGTGTTTACGTAATCCGCAATTTGATATTATCGTGTAATAGGATCTCAGTAGTGAGAGTACACAGAGTATTAAATCAAATTGTATCAACATTCTGTTATTTTTGTGCTGAACTTTGACAAACGATAGGAATGAAACTCATTTTCCTTTTTCTTTTTAAGTTAAGATGTAACTTTATTGTTGACAATTAGATTAACGATTTAAGGAAAAAAATAAAAACATCGAGTTTAATTTCACACGGATATTCAATATCTTTTTAATTCACGTAAAATTCATGGATATTATTTCATCTGTGATAAGATAAAGATGAAATGTATTTTCTCACCATTCGTTATTTACTTCCTTAGAATGATAAATTATTACGTTTTTGATTCACGTAAAAAAAAAAAAAAAAAATTCGTGATATAATACTTTTACAGAATAAATTATTAGTATTGCTCGTGTATTTCATGAGTGCTTCGTTATCTTTGAAATTTCCCTTATTATATTTATCTATCTTTCATTTTTTTTTTTTTTATGTTTATACTGCTCGTCACTTCGGTAGCGATTTACATCGATCCTGAAAAATTCTTCAAATTAAAAGTTAAAAAACATGTAATTACTGACTACAGCTCGTTTATCCTGCCTTGAAACAATGTATTTAATAAGGAAAAAAGTAAGAAAAAAAATCTTGTTCCTTGAATTCATTAATCAAATGATTAACGAGCAAGAGCGAACAAAAGCTTGTGTGTAGTTAACACTGAGATAAATAATATTATTTCAAGAAGCTATTGTAATTTTTCGAATATCTTGTCGGGAAGGCAATTATGATGTATCTATAATTTCGATCGACTCTACACAAAATATCTACATTATTTTTAGAAGATGGCTAGTGAACTCTGTTTTTTTTTTTTTTTACTTTTTACAGATGACACAACATATTTGCGCACATCCACAACGAGATTACTCGAGTGAAAGAAGTGCTGAAAGAATTACAAGCCTCGAGAATGTGAATCGATTGAATATACCTATTGACCATAAGGTCACAAATACACGAAGAAGAGGGATGCTTGCAAGTGAGAATTGTTAAACAATAGCTTTAAAAAAGAAAAAAAGTTGAAAGAACTCTCCCATAAAAGTCCCACAAAAGTCAAACTAATTTTTAATTAATAATTTCAATAAATTGTATCTTTTTTGTTTCGTTAGATCCTCCAGCACGTAATTGGCAATTAAACGACAAGATTATATTTCCTGATGAAGGAAGCGTCAGCAGACGTGTGCCTGTTTGCAAAGGCTCTACTTACTGCGAAACAGTCGATTCTTATCCCGAAGATGTAGTGAACAGAGCGCTTCAAAAAAACGATAGTATCAGATACCTAGCTGGTATAGATGTAGTAAGTATGCAGTATTTCTTTCAAAGATTGAAAAAAGTTTCCTCGAGTCTAACGGACTTTGCACATTTTCAGGTAGATATAGGGGAAAGGATTGAAACATCGGACGATACAATACCTCTCTGCGTATCAACTGTAAGTATAAACAACAGTAACAGCTTCTTGCAAAAATGAACGTGACACACAATTGAACATGAAAATTTCTACTATTTAAGGAGCAAGTAATATATCCTCAATCGGGGGAGAACAAGAACAAGGAATGGAAATTTATCGCGAATCAAGAAAATTTCAAACAGGGTGTACGGGTTGAGAAGTGTAGGTAAGTGCATTGTAAAATATCGCGACAGAATTATTTTTCTAAAGAATTTTCCAAAGGATATAAACAGTTACATTTTACGAGGAAATAATAGAATAATTTTTGTATGATTTATAGAACGAACGGTGCCAGCTGCAGCGTGATAGGTGAAATTGCTGCAGGTTACAAAACAGTTTGTAAGCAGAAATACATTTATAGAGAATTGGCATCCGTATTGGAAGACGGTAGCATTGTTCCAGATAGTTTCCGATTTCCATCGAGTTGTTGCTGTCATGCGTTCTTCACCGGAAATCCGTTTACAAGGATGGGTTTAGGGATTCCATTTACATCTACGAAAAGACCAACTGAAAAGAAATAAATGTCTAAATCGACATTATAAACTGAAATACAGCATTTATACAGCATTCATTAATATCCCTTTTATTCTCAGAAACTTTTAACAACTATGCATTCGTAATATATCCATTATTAAAAAACAAATCGCGAGAGGCATTCTAGAGATTAAGTACTACATACCGAACAGAAATATATTAAAGCTTAAAAACGATGTATCTTTTTTTTCATTTTCTGTTGCCTCGCGATTTGTATTTTAATATAATAATTTTAATACAATATATATAAATACACATGCGTTTTATATAAATGTGTGTGAGTGTAAGAAAAATATATAACTCATATTGCATAGTTTGTCGGCTTAATTGTTGGATCTAAACTTATAACAAATAAAACGACAGTAGGCAATTTTTCCAACACTATTCATGGACATTTGAAATCTATTTTAAAGCAACATATATATATATATATATATCTATATAAATGCACACATATGTTTAGAGTACAATTTATCCAAAAGTTCCTTTCTGATGATTATACATTTTTTTACAATTAAAATATGTAAAATATTTTATAATAAAGATAGTATATCATGTGATACTATCTGGTATTTTCTGATAACAGTGATAATATAATTTCTATAGTTTAAGAATATTGCTTCCTATATATTCTTCCACCAACATTTTGCATTAAAACAAAAATTACTGGTTGTTACATGTTTGTTGTAAAAAATATATAATACGAAGAAGATAATGAAACAATATACTCTATGAAAAATATGAAAAATGAATGTATATTTACATCCAAAGGAACCACTTGAATACTTTTGATTTGTCAATACATGAGTTTATTCTTACACATTAAACACAGTACCTACAATTATATTCTATTCATTGTTTTACCAAAACTTTCTACGATTGATCCAACATTTACACATTACGGAATTATTTCTTTTATTTAAATTTCGGACATATAAATAATTATTTGCGACGTTCAGGGGATGAAGAGATATTCAAAAAATTTAGATATCAACAATTTTTGTCGAAGTCATTTAGTAAATTCATAGATTATTGGTTCAAACTAAGTATAGTATGTTAATTAAATTCTAGAGAATTTCTTTGGAACCCCTGTTTTCTTTTACACTTCACATTGGTCCATGGTTATATTCTCAAGAGATCACAATTTGTAAGTTCAAAATATAAGAAACAATGCATAATTCATGAGGTTTAATAGAATGGTTATAGACTAGGCAAATACGTATAAATCATTTTCTCAATTTTTGATACATCTACGTTCCGAAAATTACCTAATGTAAATTTATATACCCTATTCAGGGATGAATACAGAAGTAGGAAAAATGGGCCGTGCTTTGTGAACATGGACGTTCACCATATATATGCTAAAAATATTTATCCATTAATTAGCACAGGTGAACTATGCAAAATACATTATTTCATTTTCTTTTTACAAAAACACTACTTAGCAACACGGAGTACTTACATTTGCACTTGCAATTATAAGAATAATATTTAATACTTCTTAATGATAAATCTACTACTGTAAAAGTTCTCATATCAAAAAAAAAGAACAAGTAAATATGATTAACATATAATGTAACAGTTATTACGTCATTCGTAAACTTTTTTTTAAATGGAAGAATAAGTGTAAATAATAAAAAATGAACCTGAAGGAAGTTGTGTATAATATGGCAGTTTTTGTTTCTATTAAATATGCAGTCTTTACTGTTTAATCCAAGTAGCATGGAAGTCAAATGCTTTTATACAATTAAAATGAATATTTTAATTATAAATTCATTTCTGCACGAACGAGAATAACTTTCAAGTGTGAAATAATTAAATATTTCTCATCGTGCTTCTGTCTTAAACATATTCAAAGTATTTTCTCTGAGTATACTCTAAAAATACAATAGCTGCATGTATGTTGACCTTTGCACGAAGATCGTAAGTATTAAAACTCAGTCACTTTTATTTTTTTTTATTTGTTTCATAAGATTATTTATAGAGCAGTTTGAGAATGTCCTATAATTATTTTCAACATGCCTGAAATGAAAATGATTGACATTGAGATTTACACATTCCGGTACTTATATATTTGTTTTCATTATACTTATATTTTGATAATTATGTGTTATATACCTTGACACTATATGCATTATCATAGCCTCCTTTCATTTGCATCTGTGCCTGAATATTTGACAATTGTGCACTGCTCATATCGAGATCTCCACTACTAATGTGGCCAGTATGTCTAAAATTTGTAGGTACTCCTATCATGCTACGATCTATCCTTAGCCTCTGATGTGACCTCTGTCTTCCATTACGTGTCCTTGGTCCTTGTTGCATTAAACAACAGGTAAAACACTGTACCCAAAGTTCTCCACTGCCAGCCATTGTTTGCTTCAATTATTTACTTTGAAATCTAAGGCACATTTTGAAAAATAAATACATTTCATTATAAATTCGTTAAGAATGTATAATGA